CATTGTAAACATTTTTCTGGTAGATATTGTGAAACAATCAGGTTAGTACTCTCTTTTCGGCAGATCGTTAAAAAATTAATAGAATTTAATGTGATTTATTTTTATCAATTATTTAAAATTGAAAATAATGTTTGTCTGTGAAGAAAATTAATCCATTTCTTTTTTAAATATTTTTTTTTAAATGTTTCTTTATTTTGAGTGAATTCATATGTTTTCAACATTTGATAAAAATCATCTTCGATTGCGAATTAAGGCTTAGGTAAAAATCTCAACCAGCGCATCGATTGCGATACGATATTTTTCAAAAAAATCAGAGACCGCTGTTTACGCACGTTTGTTTGCAACAATATTATTACCTTATTTCTGAACAAATGACCAAGTTTTATTGCATGGCCTATAAATATACTTCAACTGAAAAAATAAAAAAATGTATAACCAATAACCAAAATTCTGTCGGATACAAGGATACATATTGCCAAATACAAGACACACATAATTTATTTTATTAGATTTAAGGGTGTACGTCCTTCGAAGCAAACTTTTGAAGAAAAAAACAAAAACCTGTAAAATTTGCCACATTTAACTTATTTGAAAGTAGATTTTAACCTTAATTTGCGCCGTGAAAGCTTCATCTTATAAACGTTTTGAACATTGTTTTTATTTATTGTACCTGTCTGTAGACGGAAGAATTCTGATCCATCTTTAAATGGAACAAATTCAGGGAAATTGGGCATATTTCAAATTTTCAAATGGTGAAACGCTGAGCGTTTCAAATATTTTATCTTTAGGACTGTCGATAGTTGAAATATCGTATCGAGATAAAACGGTGGATTTTTTGTTTGTTTTTAATCTATCATTTAAACGACAATTTGTCAGACTTCAACTTTCTGTTTACTTCTATGATTGTCGATAGTTGAAAAATATCGTATCGAGATAAAACGGTGGATTTTTTGTTTGTTTTTAATTTATTATTTAAACGACAATTTGTCAGACTTCAACTTTCTACTTCTATGATCTTCTATGGAAACACAATGTTTTATTTATATTAAGGTAATACGTAATAATGAGGATCTGGATGGTGGGATCCTTTAATATTTTAGACCATGTTTCTCCTGTTTTTATCTCTTTTCCCCTTATTCTCAATTCTTTAGATTTTAATACCAAATTTTTCTTCTTTTTTTTTTGTCTGTTTTTGTCTGTTTTTAGATATAAGAAGATGTGGTATTGTCTATTCTTTATTTTATTGGTCTATTTTACTGTAGTCTTTGCTCATTATTCTTTATTCTGTTAACCACATTCAGACCCTCAATAATGCATAATCCACATCTTGTATAGTCTGGGATCCTTACACAATATTCTTAATACCATAAGCGGACTTACGGTTCGAATATATTTGAATTGAAGCATGCAAAATCGAAAATATTTCATCAGGATTCCAGGTCACATTTTGTCATGAAGTAGCGACAGCAAAATTAGAGCTACATACAAATCTGACGTCATAATCGGACTGCCGAAATTGAAAAAAGTCAAGCACTTATAAAAGTTGCATTTATACCAACGTTCACAACTAAATTGACAAACAATAACGGAAATATTTTTATATAATTAAACTCTTCTTCAATTCGAATAAATGTCACTATAAATGCTGAGTAAAACCAAAAGTTTCCAACAGGTGGCTACAAGCTTGACATCTAATTTCCTATAATGCACTTGTCCAAAACAGTGTACCCATTGTGTCTGCTTTGATAATAATAATAATAATAATAATAATAATTTATTCCAAAAGCAAGTATACATGTAGCTTGTAGGATACATACAATGTTTGACAACTAAAACTTATAGTATCGATATGTTGAAATGCCTTTACATTTCACTATCACTGTTGTTAATTATAAAATGTTTAATGTTGTTAAATGCAACATTTTCATGTGATAATGTTTCTTACATAGAAGTGTTATCATTTATCAGTTAAAAGTTCAGCTTTTAGCAATTAAATCAGAAAAAGATAAGATAGTACAGCGATTCATATTGACATAGAAAAGCAGTGATCAATTTGATGACAGAAAAATAGACCCAATTAAGATTTCATTCCAAATCCATAACTATGAAAAATCTTCTCAAAGTGTCACTGCATTTGGAAAATTTGAGATGATGACACTATTCCTATCTTATCCAAATTAGTTGCTCTTGAATTTTAACAAGAAGAGAAAAGATAAAAAGGATTATTTATTACTTTTATGCAAATCAAATGTAGTCGTCTCATATCTTGGAGGCTAACGTCCCTCGGATATGAGAAGCCTACGTCTAATACTTGTTACTTCGATATTTATGTCAAACATACCTGGTTTAAAATATGTAAAACAATGGCGCCGTTGTAGGATTTTTCAATTCGCCTTTATAATTCAATAATTACATTACATGTATGTTTCATAAGAATCCATGTGTGGGGGGGTTCTGATCCCGGATCCCGCTTATCGTTGTTATAATACCGCTTGTAATTTCACGTGTCCCGTTTCCTGTTTTCACCCAAAATAATTTGACTTTGTACGTGTCACCCTTACAAAAAATCGGCCAATCCCGCATCACGCTTACACCCCAGTGAAACCCAATTTAAATGTAATTATAAACCTTTAATTTGAACCTTAGTGGGGATGGGTTGCGCACGTGTTCCGCGTGTGATCAGCGATCTCATTCAATGAAGATCATATTTGATTAATTTCATTTCCTTGGCACTTTAACTTTCCCTTATTTGCAATTTTTAAAGGCTAAATTGTCCACCTATTCAGGCAAAATGTTGTTTGAACTATTTTCATAGCAACGCATATTATACAGAGAAAATAAAGACTGGATTTTACACAACTACCTGACGTGTGTTTTTAATATAAAGGGCAAAAAATGAATGTTTTGACATGTAAATGATGTAATGAATCACCTGGGGTCCATCTGCATGATTCTTACAAAGACAGGTACTGAATATGCAGACGGAAACAGCATCGACATTGTTGTCGGGTTATATAGTCCATAAGCTTGTTTGGTAAACATCTGCCGACCGTGCAAGACCCTCATGGGTAGTCAAGGTCGTTAAAAAAAACCTCGTCGTCGTCAGAACATCTGAGGCGGATTTGAAACGGAAGCAAGTTTTGAGTAGTTATTATTGTACGAGTATGTAACATATTAAATGATGTATGAGTGTGTAACATACCAAATGATGTATGAGTGTGTAACATACCAAATGATGTATGAGTGTGTAACATATTAAATGATGTATGAGTGTGTAACATATCAAATGATGTATGAGTGTGTAACATATTAAATGATGTATGAGTATGTAACATATTAAATGATGTATGAGTGTGTAACATATTAAATGATGTATCAGTATGTAACATATTAAATGATGTATGAGTGTGTAACATATTAAATGATGTATGAGTGTGTAACATATTAAATGATACATATCAAATGATGTATGAGTGTGTAACATATCAAATGATGTATGAGTGTGTAACATATTAAATGATAGCGTATTTGGACGTATTTTAGTCACAAATCAAGCAGTGCTGCATTCTATGGGGTGAAATTCAGTGTTTCTAATAGCCTTAAGTTTTTTCACATGTGTAATAAATTTCCGATTTTCCTGTTTATCTGTGACGAATATTTTGCCAGCCCACAATGAAGTTGATTAAATTTCTTGTTTTTAACAACTTATCGCGCTAAGCAGGCTACTCTTATTGGTATGTCTTGGCTGATACAAACACCTGCCAGATCAGGAGTGATTGTAATGTTTTTGGTTCCCTTAAGCAGCTCGAATCGTTTGTACGTGTGTGTAAACCGAGTAATTATTTGTTTGAACAGTTATAGTAATACCTTTTACAATGAGAAACTGTCCTAGCTATTCAGAGGGTTTCATTTCTATGTTCCTTGCAAAGATATTGTAATGTTTAATACACACAAAGACATTGTGATGTTCCAGAGTAATACATTACGATGTGCCATGCAGTCGAATACATCATTCAAATCCTGCATATTAAAATTTCAAATTAAGTCTAATCCGTATTCTTCTTCAACTTCAGGGTGAATAGTAAAAAAAAACACGAAAAAATGTTCCTTTAAAAAAAACAATCAAACAAAATAATAAAGGTCTTTTGTGAGTTTCATTGTAATACTGATTATTGTAATAATAAAAGAACTCTTCCGGGAAAAAAATCAGTTTTTAGGTGCATATGTTGTTAGCGTAGATGAACACCATAAGATGACAGTTACCTCGAAAATGAGCATTTTAAACTTGATAGGAAGACATCATTTGACATTGCAATCAATACGTTAGTTTTAGGATTGTCAATTATCAAATATATGAATTGCATTTAAGTGTTATTTTAGTTGTCACTGATATAATGTTGTCATTTTCATGGACATATCCTCAAAATCTACAGATATTACTCTTTCATGATGAAAAGATTTTCAGTAAAACCAAAGAAAAGTTACATCCAGTTTCATTTGAAATTTTTAATTGAGAAGATCGATCGATTCAATCCATTTGAATTGTAATCAGGTGTGGTAGTGACATCTCGATTACTATTATATCATTTTAATGTATCTTATTAGATTTGATTCATTCCAAAACTTATGTAACAGGAGAAAAACAACTAGCAGTTCCTTGCTATCCCATTTTAGTTTAGGGAGCTACCATTTGATTTTTATGGGGGGGCTAGGATGAAAAATTTTGTCCTGCATTTTTTTTTAGTTGTAATCTCTATCCTGCCTTTTTATTTTCCACTCTATTCGGTCCTGCCTTTTTTTTTTTTAGTTTATCCTGACTTTTTTTTACCTAAATTGTCATCCTGACTTTTTTTTTACAAGTGTCTCATCCTGACATTTTTTTTACTCAAAACTCCTGTCCTGCCTATTTTTTTCAAATTTCATCCTAGCCCCCAGCATACCAGATAGAGGCATGTTAATAAACAACCGGAATAGGGGGTGTAAAACACTCGTGATTGGTTAATGTATGAACGCTCAATATATATAAATCACAGTACAATCTCTTTTCTGACAATTATACGGTAAAGATATTCTGATCTGGTAAGATGTTTCTTTTTTTTTGTTCTGTTTTATAATGCAGCAATGTGAAGATTTTTTTCTTTTAACTTTTGCTTAAATAATATTTATAAATCATTTAATGTTGTCTTATTTGTAAAATATTTTTTTTCGTTTAAATGTTCACGTGACTTAAAACATTTTGAATTACCAGTAAATGATTTCAAATAAACTTGATGTATTTTGTAATTGCAAATAGCTACCCGTGTTTTAATATTTTCATCCATATAGTTATATGTATTAATTCTTATATCGAAAAAACAATCACTAATAACAAATAATTCTTTTCAATATTTTTTTATGGGGGTTGGATGTAATTGTCCATTTTGCATTTTTTGCATATAAATGTCACATACAACCAAATTGTGTCACACAAATTATTAGAACATCTCCTTTTTTACAATAATGCTTATGAATAATGACAAGTTACTTGGATATTACAATTATGTATTGCCAAGGACATGATAAAGTGCTTATCTTTTATTCTGGCAATAACATTGATATTATTTTACAAGCATGAATTTTAAAAATCATTGAAAATTGTGAAAAAGGCGCTCAATCATGATTCTTTGTCCTTTAAAATCAATACTTGAATTTAATTTCATTCTTTTAATCAATTCTTATATTTATATTTTGTCTTCTACACAAATATAATTTTAGATACAAACAAATAAATACCCTTTTAAAACACACTTCTGTTAGGATGCGAACTTTATTTTTAGAAAAGCAATAATTTACTGTAACATATAATAAATAAATGGTTATTTTTTATATTCGTAATTTGTAGATTGACCACACCATACGCCATTCACATACCACTACATTCGAACTTCGCAATATGGCATCAGGCGACGTCGATTTAATGGAGGCTCCCGTAAAACACCTTACATCTATCAAAAAAGAAAGAGCAAGATTTTATGGCGCAGTATTCCTACCTGATGGGAAACTTCTTGTTTCTGATAAGGCAAATTGTCGTTTGCTTCTTTTTGAAGATGACTTCTTTTACATCCAAGAATTCAAACTCCCTGATGCGCCATATGACATCGCAATAGGATCAAATCAAAAGCTATATGTCCTGATGTTCAAAAACAAACTTTTAAAATGTGAAATTGATGGTGATGACTTTAACATTCTAGAAACATATGATGTCGCTAGTGGAACCGTTTCAATCGAAACCTACAATGACCAGCTGGTCACGTGCTGCACCGAAGCCGTAAAGATATTGGACCTAGATGGAAAAGAAATTCAATCATTCAAGAAATCTAATTGTAAAACGGAGTTGTTGGTGTCAACCAAGCTGAAGAGGTTTTACCTTATAACTGACCATGGCGAAGTCAGTGGACGGAAACTCTCCGATGGAAACGAAGTGTTTAATTTCTCAAATGCCGCTTTGACCAGCATATCCTCTATTGCTCTCGATCGCAACGACAACGTATATGCAACAAGTTACGACTCAAGAAAGCTTTTTCAAATTTCGAAAAATCGTCGAAAACATAGAGTTCTCCTGGAAAAATTTGAGAAAGTCAATAAGCCGGACACAATAGTGTTCCATCCTTCGAAGGATATGTTCATAATTTTTGCTTCAGAAGACTTTGATGTCTATCAGTTTTGAATGTTTTTCCAATGTCTTTACTCATATGATTGCAATGCAATGATTTATATATTCTCTTACTGAGAGTTAAAATGGTTTTAAACAAGTATATTACCTATCGAAATGTATATAAATATAGATATTGGCAGCAGCTGTTTAAATAAACACGTGTAACACATTTTTGTGTGCTAAATGCGTAGGTGTTTTTTGAATAATCCTTATTTGCCACGCTATGTGCCAACTATTATGACAACCAATTTGAAATATATTTCATTTCAAAGCATCAAAATCAACTTGGCCCTAAAAATAAAATATAAAAAAATGAAATGCCAAAGATCAACTATATCGTAGGGAGTTGTAATCTTGAATGTCTTAGTGCTATTGAGATTTTTAAAAGGACATATAGACATTAACTCTCAAGTCATGATTAGATAAAAATAAAATTTTATTTTTTAATATTTTATTTTTAGGTCAAATTAGGATAAATTTAAAGCAAGTTCGTCTTTTTCGATATTTAGTATTTTTCACTCTTAGTTTACTCATAAAAATTAGAAGATGTGGTATGATTGCCAATGAGACAACTGTCCACAAGAGCAAACAACAACCACTCAATTACAGGCTCCTGACTTGGGACAAGCACATATAATGTTATTTTTTATGTCGTACTATATAGCACTGACAAGAGATCAAGATTTTATTGCTCTATGAGAAATATTACGGAAAGCGCGAATTCATATTTAATAAAAGAAACAAAAAAATACTAAAAAGTGTGTCTGTTCGTTTGTTTGATGATGTATAACACAACTATCAGCCCCTCTGGCTCCATCATGGTGGCAAATATTTATTGGTTGAGAAAGCCGGTGTACCCGGAGGGAACCATCGAATTTTGGCGGGAAGACTGGCAATCCTTGTTCATTAAGATCGTAGTAGATCACACCTTACCACAAGCGGGGTTGAAGATGAGCTGCTTAGACCGCTCCTCCACCGGGTTCCCTAATTAGCAGAAGATATTCTTAGAATTACTTCGAAGGGGGTTGAAATAGCTATATTGGGTGAATTAGGAATGTAACCTCGTTTTTTCACAATCTTTTAAGTCTTCTATATGATAATGGCTTCATATTATTATACCACCAAAATCTGCATTAACCATCAATAAGGTAGGAGGGATAGGCTTAAAAAATTAAGATATAAATTTTCTCATCTTTTTAAAAATCAAAGTTTGTTTTTACTATCTAAAAACCGATTACATAATGCTTCAACATAGAATTAAAAGATTAAGTGATCTTTTAACGATTATTTTTCAAATAAGGTTACAATCTTACAAGAATTTTACAGTTAATTGTGAACTTGAAAACTATTGTTTATTAAATTTAGATACTCATATAATTATATTAAAAAAAACTAAAAGTAAGAGTAGGTTTGCCGTTTAACGTGGTCGACATACTTAAACATCATTGGAAGTTTCTAAAATTCCATTTTATAATATTAAATCTAGACTCAAAATAATAAGCATACTCTCTGTATTGTTCGGTTTTTTTTTATTCAATGAGTAACGAATATAAAAAAATAACACTTTTTCTGATGAAAAATTTGACATATTGAAATCCAAGATCATAGTTAATTGAGATGTATAATGATAGTTCCAACCATAGTATTTGTAAATTATTTTTGAATTTCCACAACTGTATTTTTTTATTTGTATTATACATTTTTTTTCTTTACGCGGATAAAACATATAAACATATGTTATAGTAATAGGCATTATTCCCTTCTTTATACCCGGTCAAACTATATAATGTAATGGCATTTTAGGAGGAGACCTAATGATTTTACAAAATCAATGTGATATGCATGTAATATTTTTGATTGTGCTTCTTCTGCTAGTAATTTTGATGGATCTGTTTCTCCTTCTGAAAGTCTTTTAAAACAAAATTTGAGGGCAGTGGTTTCGGAGGTCAGTATAAAAAACTAAATAATTTATATTTTTGAATAATACGTTACCCCTCATTTTATTATTTCAAAAAATGAAATTAAAAAAAAATCATTGTATAAATATTCGTGTCATAATGTTTTGAGTGTGATTGCACTTAAGTAATACGTAGATGAAATGTAATTTTGTTCAGTTCATACTTTCCTGTTTGTGACAACAAACTGACTGGGTAACATCCGTATATTATTTGACATTTCCTCAATTTAGCCAAAATAGCGCTCACTGGAGGTATTGCGACAAATGTTGTCCAAAAAGTAGATCATGATAATTAAGATAAATAAATAAATAACTAACAAAGATCTTCTTCTGTACTTTGAGTACATTGTACACATTTTATTTTGTTCAAGCCTTTTTTTTCATAAAGGCGAAATAATTCATGACACGTATGCATGCTTTGATTAATGCGAGTTTTTTTTATCGAAATCTTGACAGTAAAAAACCGACAAACCATAAATAAGTATAAATGTTTTTTCTTATATATGGTAATTCAAATTCACAAACTAAATATAACAAATTTTGAAATATGTTGACGAGAACAAAATACGACAATAAAAATCGAATTTGATAACATACTGTCATATGTATAAACTAAACAAAATACCGGGAACGTGTGTGCTTTAAATATAGGAGTAAGCAGTTCAAATATTTAATGTAACAGTTACTAGTTTGACGTCCCATTCGCACTAAAATTTGTAACAAGCGTTCATTTTTCACATGTATAAGAGGCAAAAGAAGTTTACCGACGTCCAAATCTAAAAAATTCCTTAAAATGATACAAATCAAGGCAAACAAGCATTCGGAGAGTATTGCACGGCAATACATAGCCTCTACCGGTTAAAAAATCATTGTACTGTCCGAGGAACATAACTCTGTAAAAAATCATTTGAACAGAACAAAATTCGAACTTGATCTACAACTTTTCACGGTTAAACTATATAACAAATATCAAATCAATATTATTTAAGCAAGTTTACAAGTGAGATGGAGGGGTCGTCTCATCAATACAAACCATTCATATACAACATATATGTAACATATATACAGTCCGCCAAAAGTTAAGCACCACCTATCTTTGTTGCATCGAAATTTTTTTCATTTAAAAAAAACAGTTAATCCTCGAAAAAGAGAAAATATTCATGTAGCAATTTTGCTAACATATGCCATAAACAAACCATAAACTTTTGGTCACTGATACAGGTTCTATGCATTTGAATTTTGCGTTCATAGAAATAGTGAAAATTTCAGAAACGGAATTTAAGTTTTACTTTGATTTTATTTTTTTACAACAATTAATCATCCCAAATCATTAAAAGTCTCTATAAATAATCTTTGGTATGTTCGGCAAATTTAATGTCAATATTTAAGTCAATAGGATGTGTAACCATCTCTCTTCCGGTACAGTTCCATAACAAGGCGTCTCATACTCTGTACAAGCCTTCTGAACTTTAGTTGAGCAAATTTATTCCATTCATCAACAATTGCCCCTCTTAAATCGCCAAGACTTTGCAAAGGTGGATTTCTGCGATTGAGATTTCTGCCAGTGGCATCCCAGACATGTTCGATAGGGTTCAGGTCTGGAGACATGGAAGACCAAAAGATAGTATCAATGGCTTCTTGATCTTTGTAATCGGTTACAATCCTTGCCCTGTGTGGTCTAGCGTTGTCGTCCATGTACGAGGGTCTTTACACAAGTTGGGGATTCTCAAAATGAGGGACTACAATGTTTCTAAGCACCAAATCCCTGTATGTCTGTCTGTTCATGTTACCCTGCAAAATATGCATACCCAGCTTACAACAGTATGAGAAGAAACCCCATACTGTAACACCACCATCAACGATTGCTGTTGTTGGACAATTGTTGTTTTGATGATAGGCAGTTTTATTTCCCCACCAAACTCGTATTCTGCCGTCTATTGGTCGTAACAGAAACCAACTCTCATCTGACCAATGAATATTTTGCCAGGTTCTCATGTTCCATCGTCGATGGTCATTAGTCCTTTGAAACCTGATTATACGGTACCTGGCTGTTAGGGCACGTCTTTTTACAACATGACGCGCTCTTAGGTAGCCTCTATGAAGTCGACGGACCAATGTTCGAACATTAACACGACCACCTGGATGCCAGTGGTGTCTAAGCTATGGGGCAGGAGTAAATGGGTTGGCTTTAGCACGACCAATACGAAGTCTGTCATCACGATAGGTAGTTAAACGGGGTCTTCCGGACCTTGGTCTATCATTTACAGTTCCTGTGTCAATATGACGGTTGTAAAAATCTGACAATGACGGTGCGATTAACATTGAAATGGTTACCAATGCTCCTAGTGCTCTTACCGGCATTTGACATGTCAATTGCTTGTCAACGTTCTGTCACAGATAACTTACCGCTTGCCATATTTCACAGTGACTTGGTGAAGGTCAAATTTCACCTGTACGCGGGACAGTAGGAAGATGATTTATAGGCATCGAAACAGTGTATTTGTAAAAGTGCAGATGACCTTTAATAAAAGGTTGCTTGGCTGGTATATCGGAGTTTATTTTTTTTTGTCGTAATGAATTTTCTTAGTGTATGCTATAGGCAATTCATAACACCAAACATAAAAAAAAAATTTTCGCAATAGTTAAAAAATATTGACAGTTATATTTAGGTGGTGCTTAAGTTTTAGCGGACTGTATATATATACAATATAACGTGCATATACGATTTGAACGGCATAATTTGAAAAATATACGAATACTGAGTATTTGGTTATTTTCGGATTTTTTTCTATAATACGTAAACCATGATGAATTTCGAAATCATTTCACATTGAATTCTATAAGCCTCCTAGTAAAATAAAAAAATACTGCAATCAAATCACATCCGAATCCATTGTTTCTGCCTACCTGCCTTTAGCCATTTACTTGTTTTTCCGGGGAATATTGTAACCGGACTAATTGTTGACACTGAAGAGGTTTTGTTTCTCAACAGATCTTCACCACACTTGATGTACATATTTAATATAGGGAGGGTTAGATCTCTTTTGATTTGAAAAGTCATGGACAAAGTCACATCGCTAATGTTGAGTGGCGATGGAATGATCCGTTTCAGTGCAGTAAAATCCGCACCGTTAATATTATTGCACTTCTAATAATAAAAATAAATAAAGCTCGATTACCCCCAGGTCCTTTATATATACACGAGCTTTTTTCTTTTTTTTTTTGTCCTTT